TTTGGCATTTTTCCTTTATTAAATCTCATACTTATGGGCTCCACTAATTTATGTTAACTTATTAACTTATAATTGATTATTCCATCTTCTTTTATATTTTCATTGAACAACTCATAAAATCAATATTGTCTACAACACACACATTTTTCACCTTTGTCGTATCTAAATATAACTAAATTCTTTTTTTTTATTATGATTAAATTTCGTTTTCATATTTATGTTAATTGCTTTTTTAATTATTCGATTTTAATTATTTTTAAAAATTAATTAAAAACAAAATAGTAGAACGTTTGGAAACTCACTACAAGAAAACATGCTAAATTCTTATGAATTTTTCTATGAAAATTTTGATAGAAATTTTTTTTTTACTATTTTTCTACGAATTTATGATAAAAAATAAAAGTGGTAGAAAAGTAAAAAGAATTTTTTAACGATAAAAATCGTCAAAAAACGGTTAATTTTTTTTTACCAATATTCAACCAAAAAATATCCGTAGGAAATCTGATCAAAAAATGGTAGAAAATCGGTTAAAAAAATTCACTATGATAATGGTAGAAAATTTGTCAGAAATTTCTGACCACTTTTCTACAAATAGAATATGTAAGAAATTATCTATCAATTTCTTACAAAGTAATTATTTTATTATTTAAATATCTTATCAATTTCCTACCAAAATCAGTCAAAAAAGGAAATAAGAAAAGTTCCACATCGACAAAGCAGAGTAAAAGTCACGCTGAACACGCTCTATAAATAGTGACGTACCTTAAATATAAAAATATTGAGTGAATTAATATAATTTGGGCTTTAAAAGTTCCATAATTAGTTAAAATTAATTCTAATTAGTTTTTCATTGGACTGATTAATTTTGGATTTAAATTTTAGAATTTATTTAATAATTAAAATTATTTAATTTTGGAATTAATTGAATTAAAACTGTTTTTATATACTAGTAGGAAAATGGTAGGAACATGGTAGGAAAATGTAGGATAACAGTTGAAATTTTTTTTAAGGAAAATGGAAGGAAAGTAGTAGCAAATGTCCTATGATATTCTGACCAAATATTCTGATGAAATTTTCCAACCAAAAATTTCGTAGAAAATTTCCTACCATTTTTTGACCATTTATAATTTCAGACAGAATAGAACTTACGGAAATTTTTCGCTGAAAATTGGAAGAAATGCCTATTTTCTACCATTTTCTGATGATATTTTTCGTAGGAATATCTGCTGTTTTCTTGTAGTGATTTTTAACAGTCACTACAAGAAAACCCTGTCTTTTAAACCAATAGAAACAACAGAAACACCAGAGGAATTCACCTATTATTTTTAAATATGCACCATATCTTTTGTCATTTTAACCCGAGAAGTGTTTGTCACCTTCAGGAGTCACTTTATGGACTTGTAAACCTGAGGATTGCTGCTTGCTAAACTTAAGCGTCTTTGAAAAAGATTGGTTTTGTATTCTTATGCAGACTATTCTTTGTTCATCTACTCTTAGGAACATATCGAACTAAGGGGGTTTTATATATGTTGATGATTTTCCTATTTGTGTTATAATTTACCTACATTTGGACGTTTTATAATTTGCCAATATATTGATTTTATTTTTGAAAAAAATCTCACATAACTTATTTTAAAAACTTAAATACTTTCTGAAATAAAAGAATCACATTGTTGAGAGACAAATTTCTTTTCGCATAGGAAGCATCATTGCCTCATTGGATATTGGTGCTGAAGCAGGTCTTCTCAGGTGCAAACCGGCTAGTATGCTCATCGAACAAAATCACAAACTTGTCTTGCCTCCACAACAACTCTACAAGGCCCTGATTTAATGTTTAAAGTATATAGAATAAGGCCCAAATTTCATATTTACTATTTGAGACGATGAAAAAAAAATAAACTCAGCACGAGACCCAACTATTTGAACTGGGCCTAGTTACAACTAAGTCGTCATTCACATTGATGTTAATTTCGTCTTTCACAAATGAACAAAAGATATTGAAGCAGATTGTCATGTTGACGTGATGCTTTTTAAAAATGTCTCATTTCCACCGTTCATGTTTGAACTCAGGATCATCTTGGTGATATTCTCAACAAAAGTTCTTAAACATGATATACATTATTGTCTAAATTGGGCGTGTTCTAAATCTTCATAATCTAATTTTGATACCGTGACATGGATGAGGACATATATCCCGGTTACGTATATATACTAAGATTTCGACACAATTCTTCATAATTATTCTCAAAAGTTTCTATTAAATCTAGGACCATGTACATCAGTGAACAGGTTCTTAAAATTTTTAAATTTGTTTTTTTAGTTATGAACAGTGTTTCTTGATTTTTAATTAATTAAAAAAAAATTCCTGATCCAATCACAATGCGCCACATCGTTGGTGAAACTGTCTCTTGGGTCTCTTGTTTTAGGGGTGGTTCTAAACTTTTAACCCATTTTTCATTTATTTTTTTTTTCAGTTTGCCTAAGAAATTATGCTCTGAATCTCTTATAAACCTTTGATGTACATGCTCTAAAGACATAACATAATTTGGACTAGCCAAATGGGAAATAAATCTATGACCTGGACGTACAAGACAACTTTTCGACAAATAGAAACTACTCATCTTGTTTAAATTTTCATGTGGAACTAGCAATATCATCTGACCCTTATTAATAAAATGAGAGACATTCTCAAACTCGTTTAAGATTTGGCGTATATTATAAATTTCAATTTAATCAACAAATAATTGGGACTTCCTTAGTTTAGCAAGAAGGAAAAAAAAGAGAAAGAGAATATTAGACAGGGAGGCAAAACTAACATGCAAATGCTTACAACTTTCTATAAATATCGAACATTTTATTGCGGCGGGGCTTGCGAACATTATTACTAACCATCAATTAATATCATTAAAAATAAATCAATTAATATCATTAAAATAAATATATAAACACACGAACATAGAGTGTGCATCTTAAGAGAAACCACCACTCCTTTTTAGTTTTCACATGTTAATGTCTCTTCCTTTCTTAAAACAATAAATCACTTTATATTATATTCTTGCATGTCATTTCGTTTATAAGTGTCAGTTTTTCACATACTATTAGTGCCAAAAATTTGTTTAGTTCAATACTTGTTTGTTGGTATCTTTTCTTTTTTTTTTGAAACGGATGTTTGTTAGTATCTTGCTCATGTTAAGATTTTTTTTAAAAAAAAAAATGTTAAGATTTTAATTTGCTCAAAAGTTCAAAAACTTCAATTACTAGCTAGCAGTTTCATATTTCGTTCACGGAAATACCTCTCTGATATAATATAAATGTACTTTCACGTAAAAAAATAAATAGTGTTCATCACGTGTTTGTACTTTGTAGTGATTGAAAATAGAATTTATAAAAAAATGGGTAATAAATCTCAAAATTTCTGAACAAATTATTAGAATATTTCACATGTTTCTGAAAATGTCATATATTGTTTAAAACGAGGGAAAATAAATATTTGGAATATGTTTTTATAGACATATAACCCAAAATATTTTTGGTAATATAAATATTTTTTCAATATTATCACAATATTTTTTAAAAAATTAGAAAGTTTAGTAATTTTTCTTAAATTCTTGGAATTTTTTTTGACACTTTCAAAAGCTTTTAAGAAATTGTACGTGTTATCCTTATAAAAATATTGTTCATCTTCCTTATTTTAATGGTCATGTATTTTAATAATATCTAAATCCTGAATCATTAAATCTAAATTTGACGCCAGTTTTTTTTAACCCTAACTACCATTTAAACTTAATAAAAAATCATAAAATTTAAATCATAAAACCCTAACCCAAAATTCCTAAACTCTAATCACTGCCTTCAATTAGGACGATGTCAACAATGTATAGTCATTTGTTAACATGTTAGACACACCACACAAAAAAAAAAAAAAAAAAAAAAGAGGGAGAGAGAGAGAGAATGTGTGTCAAAGACAGAGAATAAGACAAAGGAAAACCTCGTTCGAAAATAAAAGAATCTTAAAGGCTTGTACAACAATGGAGTCAGCCAAAAGGGGGTACAATTATCTAAAGTGACATAGTAAATATTGCATCGATTACTAAAAGCTTATACAAAAGTTTTGGCATGATCATGTATCGTCATGCAAATTCTGCGGTGATGTTCGTATATCTTTAATATATTAATCATTTATAGGCATCAAATACTATATATGCGTAAAGCCTTAAAACCATATCTAGATTCAAATCGAATAAGAATTTGAGAACAATATATAAAATAAGTAATACACTACAATTTGTTTGAAATGAACCAGGCATTAAATAATAATGGAGCTAATGGTACTAGAATACAATTTATATATATATATATATATATATATATATATATAATTTGAGAATAATAATCGTTTCTATTTTTTTTCGTAATAGCAATCGTTTAAAACATGACATATAGCTCAATAATTTATATTAGATTGTTATTGTTTCACCATCCAAATTCATTTTTTCTTTCTTCTAACCAGTTTTTTTTTCATTACATTGTGGTTAACAGACGATCGTCATATCGTAAATTTTAAATAGATTACACCAAAGTAAAGATTAGACCACAAACAATTGTGGTACTTAAACAAACCGAATCTTCACCATCCAAACTCGATTCTATTAACAAACAAAAAAAAACTTTGCAGTCCACTTTGTCTTTAAATAGTGTCAACCTCAAATTTTAATCATAAACTATTAAACGCAAGTCTTTACAACGCTCGAAGAAAATAGTTTTTATATTTTCAATATATATAATCATCTATTGACTATTGGCCTCAAAGACTCTGCTTAAACCCACATTTAGATTCACACATCGAATAACTAAGAACAATATGTCATTCAAACTAAATCATACACTATATATTGTTTCCAATGAATCAGACAATAGATAGTACGAGAATAAAATTTGGTGGAAGATATATAATATTGGTCCTCGATTAAAAAATTACAATCATGGGGTCTTGCATGCTCCAAGAACAGTAAAGGTACGGTCGTTTTCCATCAATAACTTAGAAACATCGGAATCAATCGCGTAAGTCCACTTTGTCTTTAAATAGCCACAGTTTCAACTTCAAAACTTAATCATTATTAAACCTTACGCAATTATACACATCTCTTTTATATAGTATCACTCACGTTCAAAGACTTTTAAACCTAAGTAACACATATTTATTTATTTCTTTATTTTGGATATGGCAAAGAAGACCCTTCGTGTAATTTACCTTTTTCTTAGTATTCTCCTTTTTTGCGAACTCATCGACGAGGCGCAGGGCAGTCGTTTGAGGTGTCATCATTCACAAGATTACCCATGCAAGAAACGTTCCAGCCATCATCATCATCATAACCATCATTTTCATCACCATTATCATCATCATCACAAGGACACTCCGAATGAATCAAAGGATCTTCAACGAAGCATCAAGACGAGAAGGAGCAAGGTTTTTTACGGTGTTGATGCTTTCCGGCCTACTGCGCCAGGTCACAGCCCCGGTGTTGGCCACTCAATCAAGACTTGAGAAGTTTGAAGTTCTTATTCTTGATTTCTCGTGATTTTTATATCCTCGTGCATGCTATTTGTCATTTTGTAAGTAATAGATAATGTTTCTATAAACTCAAACCGCTGCCGTTTCTAAATTTTATTTATTCGATCTTGCGGTTCCAAGATTTATGAGGTTGATCACAGCCAAAACATAAATTACATCAAAAAATCAAAAATACAGTATACAGTAAAAACTCTATAAATTAATAATATTAATACTTTTGGTATTTTATTAATTTATAGAGTTATTAATTTATAGATTTCTAATAAAAATATTTTTTTATTTTTATAGGGTGCTTTCACATATAACCCACAATTTGAAGTCAAATGCAAAAATAACCTATTTTTTCTCCCTCTTCAACAAATGCCATTTTCTTCCTACTATCTCCTCACAACCACATATATTCACGAAAATGCCATTATGTTTTCAATTTTTATTTTTTCTGAAAAATACCAAAAATACACAACCATCCTAAAATATATCACTTATTTACGAAAATGTCATCTTCTTCAATTTTGCCAACCACCATTACCAACCAATTTTGAAGCTCTGAATGTTTGCCCAACCAATTTTGAAGCTCTAACTGCTTATTGTGTCGCTTATAACTTCATTTTACCTACAAATTTCTCTCCAATTTCATCTAAAAAACTCTTCCATGCTCATTTCATAATTTTCAATTTCATAAATCATCTATTTTTGGAGATTCTTGCATAACAACGACTTAGCTAGTTTGCTATCGGTGCTATACAAAAGTCTGGGTGTATGTCAAAGTTAATCGAGTTTAAATTGGAAGTAGGTAAACATATACTTCATTTTCTTTAACATTTAGCTCTGTTTCGCGAAAGCAGACTTCTTTTTCAGTCTGCTAGTCAACGTAAAGGTTAGATTTGCAATTGACTTTTTTCATATTTTTGTAAGCAACGAATTGTCCTTTGTAAACAAAAAAAATCATGTAGACTCCTTTTGCAGTCTGCGAGAAAAAGGTTAGTTTTGCATTTGACCAAAAAAATTGTCGATCTTTGACTTTTATAGCAGACTTAAAGAAGTCTGCTTCAAAAGTCAATATTTTGGTCAATTGCAAAAATAACCTCGAGTAGACTTCTTTTGTATAGTAGACTTCATAAGCAGACTTCTCTACTATAGCAGACTTCTTTTACTCGTTAGCAGACTTCTAAAGAAGTCTGCTCTAAAAGTCAAACTTTTGGTCAATTGCAAAAATAACTTTTTCTTCTCGCAGACTGCAAGAAGAAGTCTACTACGAAAAGTCAAATATTTGGTCAAATGCAAAATAACCTTTTTTTCTAGAAGACTTCAACGTGAAATTTTCCCAGCGGATTTAGAACGGATGCCTGCATTTTTTAAAATTTTTAAAATGCAATTTTATAAAATATTTGTAATGTTTTTTTTAATTTTTTAAAATTGTAAATGCATTTTAGGTATGATTCTTGCACCTGTATGAGTTTGATGTGTTTATGTGTTATAAATATAAAGTTATGAATTTTCTTGATTTAAAAGGTAATTAGCACATCTAAGCAGACTTCTAAAAGAAGTTTGTAGACAAAATCTGCTGTTACGTATTAGTACATCATAGCAGACTGCATATGAAGTCTGCCTAATTATTCTTCTTAAAATTTCCATTTTGAAATATTTGTTACTTGTAAAAATGATATTCTTGTTTTGACATGTTTATTTGTTTTTTGTGTTGCATCTGTATGAGTTTGACGTGGTTATGTGTTATTTTTATAAAGTTATGAATTTTCTTGATTCGAAAGGTAATTAGCACATCTAAGCAGACTTATAAAGAAGTCTGTAGATGAAGTCTGCTGTTACCTGTTAGCACCTCATAGCAGACTGCATAAGAAGTCTGCTTAATTATTATTTTTTAAAAATCATTTTTAAATATTTGTTACTTGTAAAAATAATTTTCTTGTTTTGACATGTTTATTTGTTTTTTATGTTGCATATTTATGAGTTTGACGTGGTTATGTGTTATAATTACAAAATAATGAATTTTCTTATTTAATTTAGCTTTTAGCGGATTTCTGTAGACTTCTAAAGAAGTTTTAGAAGTCTACTTCGTAATATGTGGTAAACGTCAAGTGATTGCTTGCTTATGCTTGTATCATATTTATGCAGATTGTTTCAAAGATTGTAAAGTTAGGTATTTATAGGTTCTGGTGTTAGAAATATCTATTGTTCGTTGTTAACTAGGAATTTTGTGTGCATAAACTCTTAATTTTATGTATCTGAGCTTTTCTTCTATTTGGCCATAAAATTTATTTTTTTCTGAATTTAGAACACTCTGTGGTTTTAGAACTGATTCTACATTAATATATATGACTTCAAACATTTTGATGTAAACCATGTTTTTGTACATTGCTTCTTTTGTCTGTTTATAAGCTAACATTTTTGTACATATTGATATTCTGCTTCAAAATAAACAAGACATTCTGCATTAAATAGTATATTACCATAACCAAGATATCATACATATTGTATTATATGTTTTTCTTCTCATGGACTAAGAAATCCGTTCACCTAATTGAGTTTTTTTCAGTAAAAGCCAATCAAAGAAGTAATCTTATTTTCTATATTCAAAAATCAAATCTGAAGCTTAATCATAAGAACAAAACAATGCCTCTTGTAGCTTGTGTCATCTCTCTTTCTTAGTCTCCCTCAGCACTTTTTATGTCGACTCGTCCCACCTGTAATTAATTATATCATATTCAGAACTTAATTATATAAAATCAAACCACCAAATCTGTCCTGGTTTACTGGCAACATATGGTCATGGATATGTTCAATCCTAATCAAGTAACCTGATCCGAAACAAACCTCAAACCTCAATGAAAACAAAAAAAAACCTTGAACACTAAATCGTTGACTTCATGAACTCGAATTTGGTTGTTTAACCTCAATACCTTTCTTTTCCACCACCGATTTTCAGTAGCTCGCCGTACAAATCGACAACCCAGGTAACACTCAAATCTCTCTGCCAAATCACACCGAAACTCGTTGAAGGAGATCCTGTGACCGTCCTTCTCGGTATCAACAAGCACTCCTCCGCAATCGAAGAGAAGAGCGGAGGGGAGAGTCGCCGGAGAAGACAAAGCAGAGCAGGTTATTCCGCCGGATCGAGATGCTATGGATTTCACCGGTTTTTCTCTATAACCGTTTGAGTTCAATAACACCTTCGATTCCAACATATTCAATAGATCTGAAATCCCGTTGAAAACCAAAATCAGTCATGAATTTGAACAAAAAACGAGGAGACAGCAAATCTGAAGAAGAAAGAAAACGAACCAGGAAAAGCTAGCAGAGAAGCCATGAAAGAGAGAGCACAGCGCCGTTTTACAGAGAAGGAGTCGAGGGTTTCTAGTTTAGGGTAACAATTAGTATGTTTCATTTATATAATAGGTTAAAAATATCCGGTTAGGTTAATTATTTTCGGTTTATGTACACATTTTAATTTTAATTCGGGTACGGTTTATGCAGACTTCTTAAATTAGTCTGTAACCCTAAATTAAAACCTATGATAAAGATATTTATCTTTGTTGGTTTAATTTGAATTGGTTATATTAATTTTTAATTTATATACATCAACATTGTTTATATTTGTTTTATGAAAACAAATTTCAGCTTAAATTATTTTTATATAATTTTTAAATTAAAATATAAAGTTTAAAAATAGAGTAGACTTCTTTTGAAGTCTGTAACCCTAAATTAGAATTATTCACTTTTGATGTTTATTTTAGATAGTTTAAATGATTATTTTTTATTAAATTCTAATTTATATAGATCATACTTATTGATATTTGATTTATAGAAAAAAATTTCAGTTTATATTATTTTTACATAATTTTAAAATTTAAATATAAGATTTAATAATATAGCAGACTTCTTTTACGGTCTGCTGAGTAGACTGATAAAGAAGTCTGCAGCCCTAGTTTAAAACTTTTCACGTTTTATGTTTATCTTAGATGGTCAAAAATGATTTATTTTTATTAAATTATAATTTTTATAGATCATACTTGTTGACATTTGATTTATAGAAACAAATTTTAGTTTACATTATTTTTATATAATTTTTAAATTTAAAAATAAGATTTAATAGTATAGTAGACTTCTTTATCAGTCTGCTGAGAAGACTTCATTAATATTTGCAGACTTCGCAGGATTATAATCGTAATTGAAATCTCCGTTTTTTGTTTACTCATGTAGGAGATAATAGTAATTTCTTTACCCTTCTGACCTATTTTTGCAGTAGGTTGAATTTGAGGTATACTTTTGCATTTGGAATCAAATTGTGGCCTATTTTTAGCAATTCCCCCTATTTTTATTAATTTAAATTTTTTTAAAAGATTTTACTCTTTAAAACATTCTTTCTAAAATTAAAAATGAATTACAAAAAGTTTAAAATTTAAAATAAATAAAAAAATTAACTAAACTAATATTTTAGTAGATTATCTCACTTATAGATTTATATAAATTTTATTTATGATAACTATTAATTTATAATATTAATGGGACCATATATTTACATAAAATTTTTATTAAAATTATTATTTTATTATCTTATCGATTTGTATTAAATTTTGAACCGGCCCAATTTAGGAGCGAAAAAATTTATTAATTTATAGAGTTTCTACTGTACAACCTTTGTGCTCTTGATTTAAAATTTAAATTAAAAATAATGCAAAAAGGGTAAGCTAAATTAACTTAATATCTATCCAATACTATTACATGAAACTAAACATTTTCAAATTCAACCTACCAAAAAAAAAAACTAATAATTTGAGTTGTAATTTCGTGTAGCTACAAGATGTTTTCTTCTAAAAAAACGTAAAATCCTTGATACTGATCAATATATTGTAATGGCAGTTTCATGCACCGTAGGTGAAGATTGGTTATATCGGTTTTAATTTTGGTTATATCAGTACTGATATACATAGTGCTGCAGAATTTATGTAAACTAA